TCTCGCTGCGGTTTGGGGAGTCGCTGCCCGAGGCCGCCAGCAGTTTGGTCAGGCTGTGCCTCATGGGGCCCGGCGGCGGGCCCACGTAGGCCCTGGCCCCTCAGACCGGGCCTTGCGGGTCCCAAGGACCCAGAGCTGGTAGCCGGGGAGTTGGCCAGAACGAAATGAAGGGGAAGGTCGGAGTCGCCTCCCGCCCCACTTCACTGGTCGACCCCCCGCGCCGGGGCGGGGGGAGGGCCGGGAGATCCAAGCGGCGAGGGCCAGCGATGACTCGACCGCGCCACCCAGACAACGGCCTGGCCGGAAGTCGGTCGATCGCTCCCCAGCCCCTCCCACAGTATTTCGCGCTCCACCAGGCTCTGGTATCGCGAGAGTTCGGTGAGGTCTCCGAAGGAGTAATTCCAGATCTCCAGTGATGTCATAGTAACATCGGCAAAAATAACAACAAACCCGGGATTTATTGAAAAAGTAGTCTACCCTCTCGGCTCTCACTTCTCAATCCTCTGTAGTCTAGCTTCCACCTCCAGTGAAACCACTCTGGCTCAGAACTGACCTTTTAGATACCAAATATTTTAATAATCTTAAAGTTATCCTAGAATTTAAGACTGGTGATCAGATGCTTCTTAAAACAGCTCTTTTCCCCTTTCTTTATGATACATCGTTTCACTCAGTACTAGAAGAAAAAAGAGGCAGTCATTCGAATATAATTTAATTTTTCCAAGTTTTTATTATAAAAATATACAGAATATGTGAAAGAATATTACAATATCCAGTCTAATTCAACAATACTACCCAAAATTCAGACTCAACAATTCAACAATTAACATTTTGCCATTTGTGCTCTATCTGTATATAAATGTTTATTAAAACTTTTTTTTTTTTGCTGAAACATCCCAAAGTTGCAGACAAGACACATCATGCCAACAGGCTTCAGGATGCATCTCTAAAATAACATTCTCTTTCATAATTGTAATACTTTTATCAGGTCTTGGGAGAATAAACAATCCTGCTAATATTATCTTACTCATTCTATATTCAAATTTGCTCAGCTTTCCTCAAAAATAATTTTTTACAGCAGGGATTTTCTTTTGCGCCAGGATCCAATTATGGGTCACTTACTGTATTGTTATGTATTTTTTCCCCATTTGTCAAACCATACTAATCCCTTCCACATTTTAGTTTTTCTTAATACTGACTTTTTGATGAGACAGGATCAGCTGTGTTGAAACATGCACCACATTCAGGATTTGTCTGTTTCCTCATGGTGTTGTTTATCTTGCTCCTCTAATCCTACAAGATATCTGATATTTGAAGTAGTTTACATTAGAATATGGTGAAACAAAACAACTCGAATTTTTCCAAAGCAAGGCCAGTGAAAATACAGATGAAATAGGAAAATCAGTAGTTCTAAAAGGAGGAAATGTTTGTATTAAAATAGATTGAACATAAAATCTTACACAGTTACTCAAGTTGAGACAATAGACCAAACTTACTGGTTCTCCTCAGCTCCAAAAAGAAACAAAGAAATAAACTTGGCATTATGTGCTCATGAGTAAAGTATACATGAATTCATTGACTACAAACAGTTCTCATGTCTTAAAGAAACGTCTCTATGGGATGCTGAATAAAGTAGCAGATAGCCTCACCAATAGCTACCTTTGTATGGCTGTTTTTTTAGAGGGACAAGAAACAAGTTCCAGAAAAGCTGGACACTGATATGTCCCAAATATCCAAAACAGTACCTGGCACAGGAAAGTCTTCAATAAATCCTTGTTCAGTGAATGAATTAAGAAGATCTCCAACTTTTAGTTGAAGGGATTATACTAAGGCTCAACTAAATAAAAACAGTTCTGCAAGGGGCACAAATAAGTATGCCCTATGGTATCTAGAAGAAGAAATAAGTAGCCTCTGTGTCCTTCTTAACATTCTCACTAGGAAAGGTTTTGCTAAAGTAGAACAGCACATAATTTGAGATAATAAATATTCTGGCAAGTTTTGTGTGACTGGTGATCCCACAGAATTGCGTTTTCTCCTTAGGCAAAATCAAGATCATGGATTGATTTATCATTTTTTCTCTGAATTACAAGATTTTGGTTTAAATATACGTGGTTTAAAAGCCTCCCCATTTAGATTAAGAGAAAAATAGAAAACTGAAATAGAAAGTTTTTACAATGTAGACTCGGAAGACAAAAAAGCAACTGACACGAGTAAAACTCGCAGAAAATGGCTTTCCCTCCCTTCCACCATTCCTCCCTTTTCTCCTCCTCATTCTTCTCATTCTCTGCTTATTCACAGTTGGTTTGTTGTTGTTGTTTTTCTGGTTATAATGATCATTGCAAAAGATTCAGATAGTGCAGAAACATATAGAAAGATATCACCCATTAACTACACAAAAAGAACTCATTAGAATGTTGGTGTACATACAAAGAATTTTTCTGTGCACAGACGTAAGGCACACCTTATTTTATTTCTTTGAACTCTACTGTTTTGGTATGAATATTTTGTGGACATCTTTCATACAACTAAATAAAGACCCACATGCATATTTATGATGACTAAAATTCCATTTCATTAAATTTCCAAGTTTTATTCAACCAGCTCCTCATTGATAGCATTTAGGCTGTATTGGATTTTTCACTATTATAGACCACATGATGATGTTGCACAAACATCTTCGTTCACTTATTCTATGATTTCTTTAGATTAAATTATTTGAAGTAGAATTTCTGGATACAACTTTTATACATAGACTCAATACCCATGGGAAGGTATTGCTCACCAATGGTACATGACAGTATTTAGTTACTATGTACTCAGTGACAGTGGATTAGTTCTTTTTAGAATATGCCAATCCAAAACTAAAAAATGGCATCTTTTTGTGTAAATTTGTATTTATTTATTAGAAGGTTGAATGTTTTTCATATGACCAACTGATTTCTAATGTGAATAGCCTTTTTACCTCCTGAGCCCATTTTTCTCTGAGGCCAGAAGAAAATGTTCAGCACGGAAAATATTTTTCTTTTTCCTTCCTGATTTATATGAACTCTATGCATTATTAGGAAAACATACCTTTGTCTCATATTTTCCACTTTTTCCCCCAGTTGATCATTTACTGGGGGCAAAATGGGGTAAAACTACTTGTTTTACTATAATTTTTAAATAGTCTATCAAAATTTTCTTTATGGTTTCTGGCTTTAACGTTAAGCCTAAACAGGTTTTATTAACCTAAATAATACTGATATTTACCTATATGTTTTAGAATGCCTTTAATTATTTCTATTTATAATTTACTAAGAGCCTTGAACAATATGAGTGATTATTTCATTCAGATGTGAATGGAATTTATTCTAGTATAAAATGTGACACAGAAACGTAATTTTTCAAAAAGTTATCTTCCACAATAAAATTTATTGAATAATCCATACTTGCCCCACTCATGTTCCAACATATATGCCATAAATTAAATTCTTATATATAGTTGGATCTATTTCTGGTCTTTTTCTTCTATTTCATTGATCAGTCTAACCGTTCTGGAAGCAAAATCACTACATTTTTATTGCAGTTTTATAATATACTTTAATATGTCATAGGACAGGTCCTTCTTTGTTAGTCTTACTTTCTCAGAATTTTCTATCTATATTTGAATAGTCTTCCAAAATTTATAAAATTTTCTAAGTTCAAAAAGCTGGACTTTTCATGTAAATGCATTTAATTTATTAACTTACTTTTCCCAGTTATTGTATGCATTGTTTGCTACTGAATGACATTATTTCTTCTTTTATGTTTTCTATATGGTTACTGTTGCTACATAAGGAAGTTATTGATTTTTTTGTTAAATTTTTAATTGACTCACCCACTGAGGTTTCTTAATAGATTTTATTTTTAGCTTATTCATTCAAATTTCCCTGGTAGACAATTAAATTGCCTTATTTTATATATACGATAATTTTGTCTCCTTCTTTGCAATACTTATTTCATTATCTTGACGTAATGAAATAGCATTTCCAGATTGATGTTAAATAGTGCTGCTGATAGCCGACTCCCTTGTTTTATTCCTGACTTTTAACAGGAATGCCTCTAGTGTCTAGCTGTTGATTTGAGATGGATATTTTTATTAGGTTAAGCTCAGTTGCAGGAAACAGAAGCCAGGTCAGCTATTTTAAGCAGAAAAAACATGTAATAGAGAGAAGGTGTTTACAAAATAATTGGAAGGACTGGAGGAGTGGGCCTTAGGCCAAGTGATCAAGAATGCCTGTCAGTACAATGTGGCCAAAGAGGCCTGATAGGGAGCTGCTATCTTTGCCACAGCTGGGAAAGTTGTAAACAGAAAGCTGGAATGTTGGCGTCAAGAGCACCGCTGCTGCCATACCAGACTCCCAACCCCATGTATTAATTAGCTCTTGCTGCCTAAAAAGTTACCCCAACCTAAAAATAACAATAAATATTTGTTTATTGTTGTGGCTTAAAGTAACAATAAATATTTATTATCTCTCGCAGTTCCTATTGGTCTGAAATTTGTAAATGCCTTAGCTATGCAGTCCCGCTCTGGAATTCTCATGGAATTCAGTCAGATTTTGATGGGGGCTGGAGTCATCTAAGACACCGCTTCTGAGGTGGCTGACAGTTTGGTCCTGAGAAAGCCTCAGTTCCTTTTCCTTGTGGGACCTTCCACAAGCTGCGTAAGTGTTTACACTATATGGTAGCTGGCTTCCCCAGAGTGAACGATCCAAGATACCAAGGAAACAGTAACAATGTCTTTTACGACTTAGCCTCATAAATCACGTAAGGCCCCGCGCGCCTGGGTAGTGGAGTGGTCCTCGTGGTCACCTCAGAAATTGGGCTCCATGGCCTAGCGTCCCCGCCACCTGTGATCGTACGCCGAGGCCAGCGAGGGGTGACTGCCGAGGTTTCCACCAGCCCACAGGCAAAAGCACGGCAGCCACCCTCTCCAGCGGCTCGCTCATGGCCACCCACGACCACTACCAGCGCCGCCTGGGCTCCGCTTCCAGGAACAGCTCCTGCGGAAGTGCGGAGTAGCACCCTGGGAAAGCCATCCCCCACCACCCAGGTCTCCCCAAAGCCAACCCGGGACACTGGTGGGCTAGCTTCTTTTTCGGGAAGTCCACTCTCCCATTCATGGCCATAGTGTCCCCAGAGCACTGGGAATCGCCCCAGAAGACCTCCACCGGTATGATCACCTGTGACCTGGCTCGGGAAGCCATGGGGAAGCAGCAGTCTGGCAGCCAGCCTGGCAAAACCAACTCCAGCCCCCGTCCTGAGTGGCCGCCATCAGCTGCCAGGCTTCCTTCCAAGGCGCTAGGCTAATAAGAGCCCCCACTCCACCTCCCCTCCCCTCCTCAAGACTAAGCAGGCTACAGCCAGCAGAAACAGTTGGGTTCTTTAACATCAAAACAGTAAAACACCAAAAAGAAAGTTGAGAGAACCCCACTCTTTACTACCCAAGCCACACAAGAGCCTTCCTGACACCTCATAACCCTGTGCCTTGCACCAAGCAGAAAATAAACTCCAAGCAGCCATAAAAAAAAAGAAAAGAAATGAAAAGAAAAGAAAGAAAGAAAAAGAAAAAAGAAAAGAAAAAGGGAAAGAAAAGAAAATCACATACAATCATTTTTGTAGCCTTCTATTGATCACATGAGTCAGACCTTACTGTGGAGGGGGAGTACACATGGATATAAATACTTGGAGATAGGAATCATTAAGTGCTATGTTGGGGACTGGCTACCATAGCTCACAAAATAAATGAATGGACAGCTACATATAAAAGAGTAAGATTAGAACATTCTCTAACATCATATACAAAAATAAGTTCAAAATAGATTAAAGACCTAAAAAGACCGGAAACCATAAAACTAGAACAGGCAGAACACTTGTTGGTATAAGTTGTAGCAATATTTTTTTGGATCAGTCTGTCTCCTAAGGCAAAAGAAATAAGAGCAAAAATAAACAAATGGGACCTAATTAAACTTAAAAGCCTTTGCACAGCAAAGGAAACCATCAACAAAATGAAAAGACAATCTATTGAATAGGAGAAAATATTTGCAAATGATATGACCGATAATTCATATACAAACCCATAATATCCAAATAACCATTTTGGTTAATATCCAAAATATATAAACAGCTCACACAACTCAATATCAAAAAACAAACAACCTGATTACAAAATGATGAGAAGATCTGAATAGACATTTTTCTAGAGAAGACATAAAGATGGCCAACAGGCACATGAAAAGATGCACAACATTGCTAATCATTAGAGATACACAAATCAAACCCATAATGAGGTATCACCTCACACCTGTCAGGAAGGCTACCATCAAAAAACCTATAAATAGCAAATGTTGGTGAGGATGTGGAGAAAAGGGAACCCTTCCTTATACACTGTTGGTGGGAATGTAAATTGGTGCAGCCACTCTGGAAAAGAGTATGGTGGCTCCTCAAAAAACTAAAAGTAGAACTACCATATGATCCAGCAGTTTCTTCTGGGTATATATCTGAAGAAAAAAGAAAGAAAGAAAACCCTAATTCAAAAAGATACATGCACCCCATTGTTCACAGCAGCATTATTTACAATAGCCAAGATATGAAAGCAGCCCAAGCGTCCACCAACAGATGAACAGATACACAATAGCATATTACTTAGCCATAAAAAGAATGAAATTCTGCCATTTGCAACAAAATGGATGGACCTAGAGAGTACTATGCTTAGTGAAATAAGTCACTAAGAGAAGGACAAATACTGTATCACTTATACATGGAATCTAAAAAATAAAACAAACAAATGTATATAATACAATAGAAATAGATTTACAGATACAGAAAACAAACTAGTGGCTACGAGCAGGGAGAGGGAAGAGCGGAGGGGCAAGATAGGATGGGGTTAAGAGATACAAACTACTATATATAAAATAAACAAGCAGCAAGGATATATTGTACAGCACAGGGGATTACACCATTATTTTATAATAACTTTGAATATAACTTAAAATAATCTATAAAAATATTGAATTACCATGCTGTACAACTGAAACTAATATAATATTGTAATCACCTATACATACATACATACATAAGTAAAACTAGTGATGGAACACTAAGATGCTGTTGCAGAAAAGCCTAATGTCTCCAAGAATGTGCTTGGCAGAAACAACAGCCAAAGCAGGGGGAAACGACCCCTGCGTCATTTGCATCTTCCAAATACAACTGCAGAGGAGTCTGGCAAATATAGTTTGTTTCTGTGTTTCTCTTACTTTAGCTTTTCCATTTCTACCATATAAGAAAGCAAAACATATTAGAAGAGGGATTGAAATAGATGATGAGTACCAATCTATCAAATCCTCCTCAAAGATCATGACTTTATGGTACTTCATCATCAATACACACATTTATTGGACTTTCTATAGCAGCAGGTTGGAATACAGATGTTAGGGAAGGCAGCTGAATCAGGGCTGGGGTTTTGCTGAGTAGGTACAGCAGAAGGATGAGTACTACAGAGGCCAGAGTGCTCATTTCCATATAGTTTGCCTGTTTACTAATGACGTATTACCTGTAAAGGGTAGGGAGTATGACCATGAGGGGATTTTATGACTGGTTGAAAATTGAAGAATGACAGTGTCTAGGGTACTGTAGGATTTGTTTACAAGAACTATCTATTTGCATGGATTATGTGCAATGCTCAGTGTGCTAGCTGTATTTCCATTCCTTTATTCTCCTCTCAAAAAAGCATTTCAGAAGGCAAATGAATGAGACATAGTATTGTGGACAAATCTGAAATCTCATTTCTTTTACTTTAAAATGACCAACATTCATAACCAACAAAAATAGTAACAAATTACTGGTATGCTTTCCAACTAATCAAGCCCCATAGTTGTTGCCCCTGAAGTGGAGACTTGCTGCTTCGGTGGGGAAAGGGACAGCAGGTGCAGAAGTTTCGGTGTTAGATATTTAGGAGGGTAGGAGCAGAGCTTTCCCTGTTCTGATGTGAAGGACTCCACTTCTCAGGTGGAAAACTGCCTTCTCTCTCACTCCAGACACCCCAGAGCCAAACTTGGCTGAGCAGCTCTTGCTTCCTATTGCCAGTTTCAAATCATTCCTTTCCATCTCTCCTTCACAAAGCTCAGCTCTTTAATTTTTTTAAATACTGAAAATCTGCAGTCAAACACCGAGCTAGAGAAAAGAGTATACTGAATCCCTATATACTCCTCGTCCAAATTTAAGTATTATCAAGATATACACTTTCCTAAACTTGCTACAGCCCCCTGCCTTTTTTTGCTGAATTATTTTAAAGTAAAAATCCTTAACATCATGTCATTTTCCCTCTACACATGTTAACATACCTTTTTAACTGTAAGGTCATTTTCTCTGAAACCACAATGTCATGACTGCAACTAGTCAAATTGTTATGAATTTCTTGGTTATCATTTAACCCCAGTCAATATGCAATTGCGTCAAAAATTTCTATCTACAGATGGCTTATTGAATAAGGATCCAAACAATTCTATGCATTCCTTATATCGCTCAAACTTCTTTTAATCTAAGACAGCATCCCTCCACCCCTTTTCACCAATGCCATTTGATTTTCTGAAAAAGCCAGGTCAGCTGTCCTGTTGAGTGTCCCATTTTCTGCATTTGTCTGCTTTCTTGTGGTGCTGTTTTACTCCCCACCTCCCCCTCTTCCCAGCCCCATATTTCCTGTAAGCAGGAAGTTAGTTCTCAGAGCTTAGTTAGCTTAAGAGTCAACATTTTTGGCCAGAATACTTCCTAGGAGGTGCTACTCTTCATGGTGTCTCACATCAGGAGTCATATAAAGTCCACCTTTTCCATTTTCAGTGATGCTAAGATTGATCAATGTTTTCAAATGGTGACTGTCTAATTCCTCCATTGTAAAATTCTCCATTAATCTTTTTCCTAATGGTTTCATCTAATGATAATCAGTGCCTGGATAAATTATTTCACTGGCTTACTCTTATTGCTTTACTTTTATTATTTGGTATTCTTCTGTGAAAAGCAACTTTATCTTACCACATATGGGCTGTTTCGTTACCCTGAAATACAGGGAACAGGAAAAGTAGGATAAATGCTTACTCACTGAAACTCTCTGGTTTCCTCTTTACCCAGTAAGATCTTATGTTAGGTCACCCAGTAAGTGATGTGATTTGAATCCAGGCAGTCTGATGCTAATGCACCCCTTCCCTCATTGCACTAACACTTTGGCTAGTTTCCTGATCACAAATCTGGGTTTCCAAAGGGCCTAGTGAAAGGATTTGACTGGGGGTGGGGGGTGGGGAGGACTGAGCCAGATTATGAAGGCTTAGATTTCTGTAAGGGATGGAGGTAAATATGGATGTGAGCGTAATGGGATTAATCTAGCCACAGAGTCTTTTGTTAGAGTCTATTGTGACTGCTTATTCTGCAGCCCCGGATGGTGTGGCTGTTATGAAAGCAGTTTTCTTACCAAGAACAGGAAGTGCTATGAAGGCTTCAGAGCTACTTTCATGTTTTCGTTATCTCTTCTCTTGGACAATTCTTACACATTCTACAGGCTTTAACTTAGCCACTTCTAGGAAAAGCTTTCCCTAACTTGTTCTGCCTTATGTTAAGAAACCCTGCTGTGCACTCCCATGTCATCCTATCCTTCAGTATTTTTCTCACCCACTAGGATGCAAATTCAGTGAGGATAAGGTCTCTGTGTTGCTCATACTGTGTCCTAGTACTTAACACAGTGCCTAGCCAATAACTGGCTCTCAAATATATGTTAAATTAGTGAGACGTATTAAATGAATGAACTATTAATTAAATTTGAGTGATCAAAATGTCTTGGCCTGCCCTTCCTCTACCATCTTTTCCTTTGCCTGTTAGGGTGAAACCAAAAACCAATACCCAATGCCTAAAAACTTGAATATATGAGAAAGCAGTCTTCCAAAATCTAAAATTCAAGTCTCACACAGACATGAGAAAATCCATGAGAAAAGTTAATACATTCAAATCTTTAAATATAGGAGAGAAATAGTAATCATTAGGAGACACTCCTTAGGGTAGAAAAAGATATAATCATTAACTGTATGTTGCTGAACACTTACGAAAGCAGCAGCTTCCAGCTGAATGGCCTGACCCAGATCTGTCAGGCCATATTTGGCTCTATATAAAACATGTCTTGTCTACTCAGTTCTTGGGGAAAGAAAAATCTGTAGGCTTTTTGAATCATCTACATAAAAATAGAGCTTACTAGGAAGCAGTTATGTGGAAGATTCTTCTATTTTTAATTTTAATTTTATTATATTTTTGAACTAATATATTCATACGGTTCCAACGTCAAATGATATAAAATGGCAGACATTCAGAAGCTTCCTTTCCACTCCTATCCCTAACCATCCCTGCCCCCACACTCCTCTACACCACTAATAAACACTTTTATTAGCCTTTACTTTTTCCAATATTTATACAGATGGAGGTACATATCTTTTCATTCTTATCCCTCTCTCATTCTCTCCCCCTTACACAAAGGTAATATATGACAGATATTCTTCACCCTGTTTTTTTCCCCTACATATATCCTGGAGGTATTTCTGTATCAGTACATAGAGAGCTTCTCCTTCCTTCCTTCCTTCCTTCTTTTCTTCTTTCCTTCCTTCCTTCCCTCCTTCCTTTTTCCCTCCCTCCCTCCTTTTCTTTCTTTCCCCTTTGCAATGTATTCCAAAGTATGGAGGGCCCACAGTTTATTTAATTGGTTGCATATTGAAGGTATGTAGGCCATTTCCATTCTTTTGCTATTACAAACAATTCTGTAACGAATAATCTTAAACATGAAAGGGAAGATAATTTTAGACTAGTGCGAATAAGAGTGGATTAGAGGATTAAATAGGGACAGTCTGGCAAATAGTAAAACAAGTCCCTTTGTTGAACTGAGGAGTGAGGGGATACTGTAGTTAGCTGAATGCACAGTGAATGACCAGGGAGATATGTCCAATGGAAAATTTTTTTTTCTTGGATTAGTTTTTTCCAAGTGGGATAAACAGAAGGTTTGGAAAGAACAAAAATCAAGTGGGGAGAGTCATCTGTATAGCCCTAGGCCCTTAAATTCAATAAGATGTTGGAAAATAGCATCCAGTTTGTCCTTAGAGAAATGGACAAATTATTCGAAAAGCCCATTCTTGGCCAACTCCCCAAATTCCAACAACTTTTTTAAGAGGCTGAGATTTATTAAAAAAAAAGAAAAAAGACTCCCTGCCTCATAAGGCCCTGTCAATCTAAGTACAACAGAAACTGCTGAGGACCACCCAACATCTCTCTCCCTTCATCCTTGCTGGCAAAAGCTCTGCCTTTGTCAGGTAGCCTCATCTACTATATGCCATAGAGACTGGCCTCAGGGATATTGGTCTGCTTTAGAAAAGAGTTTTGTTTTGTTTTTTAAATTTCCCCTCAAGGGCAGTAGTTTGGAGGTGGTCGATTTACATTTTGTCAATTTGTTCCAATAAGCATCACTTTATAGGTCAGCATACCACAATCACTAGTTGCTCATCCCCTAATCTGGTCTGAGTCACAGAGTAAACACAGGATAAGCACTGAGAGAGAGGAACATAAAGTGCTGAGGAACACAGAGGGGGGAAATGCCTTTTTGTGGCTTGTTAGAAGTTAGTTTGTACAGTGGGAAAAACATGGGCTTTACATCCAGAAAGTGGATCTAGATACCTAATCTGCAGTGCCCAGCATAAAATGAAAATGTGGAGCCGCCTGCCACACAATTATTAAGAATCTCAAGGCAGTGGCCATAGAACCAAATGTGAGGTCCATGTGCAGGTGCCACACCCATGAAGCAGGTCCTGCAAGAGGAACTTGGGTTCAAATGTCACTCTTGCCACCCCAAATCTCCCTGGCTTTGGGCAAGTCACCCTGAGTCTCACTTTTTTCATTTATAAAATAGTGATAACTGAACCTCCCTTTTAGAGTTGGTATGAGGGTGACAGGTAAAGCACATGACACATGACAGGTTCACATTACTCTTACTTTTTTAGTCTGTGTTGTGGGCTCTTTTCCTCAGATGTTCTCTGGGCATCCATCTTTCTGTTCTCATTACCCACTTTCTTTTTAGTATCTTTCGAAACGGTATTATAGTGAACATTATGAAGTGGCTCATATCTAATCATTTGTGACCTACAAATTGGCAATTTTATATGGTTCAGCCTAACACAAACTGCTTAGCATTACTTTGAACAGGTCGGTCTTTAGACCCAGGTAACTAAGACCCTTTCTTTGGGCCCACGTTTTCGGGGCATGCACCCCTGTCCTCTTACCTTACCCACCGCCCATCCTCTTCCAAACGCATCCTTCCTCATCTAACAAGGAGTCCCAGGGAGAAGTCTTCTACTATCCCACACTCCTGTACAGGGACCTCAGAATTCCCTACCCAAATGGCCCTCGGCCCACTTCCAGGACCGAGTTGGCCTCTTTTCAGCAGCCTCTTCCTCCTGCTTGCAGGCTGGGCACAAAACTTAAACGGGAGAGACACTCAGGGGACAGCTGTTTACGGCGAGTGGGCGGAACCTGCACGGACAGGTGGGGGTGGAGGGGTGAAGGCAAGGTAGGAAATGCTGGCACGCATGCGTGCTAGGCTCCTCGCAAAGCTGCCGGAACCATGGCGGGAGGAGCGCTAGTCTGCAGCTCCTGTTAGTGCGCTGCCCGTCTCCTCCTGCTTCTCCCCACAATTTAAAGGGCCAGAGGCTCTTTATATTCCGTCAAAACCTACTCTTCGTTTTATCTGTAGACGTGCTTCTCCATACCTCTTTCCAACCACTTACGATTTCCCCACATATTCTGGACATTTCAAAAAACCTCCGTGACTTTCTATACGATGCTGTCTCAAACCTTTCTCCCTTTTCTCCATCTGATAAAATTCCACTATTTACAAATCAGCTTAATATCAACTCCTGTGTTGGTCATCCCTGGCAGTCCTCTCTATCATCCCAACCCTAACCCCCAAGCATTTTAGCTGCTGTGTGTGTGTGTGTGTGTGTGTTTTACTCACTGTGATCTCATAACACTTCTTGGGAAAACACATCACCCTGTATGTAATTGCTTTTTTGTCCCTAGAGTAGACTGTGCACAGGGAGCTTCTCTAGGGAAGAAAACATGCATTTTCATGCTTATTCTTGGTGCCTACCCCCAGAGATTAGCACTCAGTAGACAAGTGAATGAAACTTCCAGTGCGATGTTGTCATCAAAATCTCAGCTCCCCAGTGGCCAAGTGGCCTTGAGCAAATTACTGAATCTGTTTCCTCTTCTTTGAAATAGAAATGAACATAATTACCTTTGTCAGTGGTCTTAAGGATTAAATAAAACAACAGTATCCAAAGTGCGTCAGCACAATGATAAATAGTATGGCATAGATAAAGGATAACCATAATTAAATTAGCTCCTATATTCTGACACTTGGTGATGTATAAGAGGAAGTAAATAGTCCTTTCAAGCCAGAAATGTAGATCCTTGAAATTTGTATTTAAAATTACAATCTTAATAGAACTATGAGAAAATAGGTTTTAAAAATTGCTTTAGGTAACATAAGCAATGCTTAAAATTGTTTATTAAAAAGGTACCAAGTAATATTTTTAAAGTAAATCCAAATCACTAGGGAACTCTTGGCACTCTAGGCATTAAATGGGTGAGGAAAATACTACATCACAATTTTGAGAAGTATTCATAATAATGTTTCTATATCACTTAAATACAGGGAAATAAGGAAGCGTGTTAAAAACCTTATATAAATATATAATAATTATTGTCTTTATAACTACATTTAAGTATTCCTACAAAAAATGCTGTTAAGTATACATATATACATTCCATTTAGATGTTTTTCTAAAAAAGGAAATAGCTGCAAGAAAACATGCTAATAGAAACAGAACAATATTTGTTGCTATGTGTATCATATCCAGTCTGCTATGACTTGTTACCCCAAATTGGGGACTTCTGTCTATTAGCATATTGTGCAATATTAAATGACACTACTGATATTTGCATTTTTGCATCTCTAAATCCTATTTTTATTAAGGCGAAAACCCAAGAAAATGGAATGTGATCTAAGCTTGCAGGAAAAATTTAAACTGGTTGATTTCACCTATTTGATTCTTACTGCTTATATAAGATGACTATAACAAAGTATGCCTACTTTGGAAAATAAATTAATGATCTCAATCTTCGTTTTCCAAGCTAGCACAAATGAAGTGAAATGAAATGAAATGAAACAAAATAAAAAGGATACTGCCATATACGAGGTGAAGCAAGCAATGGTTTGGCCAGTTGCAAAATCAGATACTTTTTTTCCTGCAAGTTATCCATGCTATTATTATGCTGTTAGCTATTTTAGCTTACAGTCTCAACTACGGGAGACTACAAGCCTACCTGTCTACAATGGCTAATTATGCTAATTTTTTTCACAGTAGCACATCCCATTGCACACTTAAGATTCACTTAATTCCGTAAGAGCTGCTAATTTTAAATCTTATGAAGATATCTGAGGTTGAGAATATGAAGATACTGAGGTTGAGAATGAACGAGCTATGGAGGTGGAGAAACTGACAGCAAACAGGAAGATTTCAAAGGCACAAAAAGAAATTTGGTAACTTGTGTATTTTAGGTAGTAGGACTGAAAATTAGTGTTATTTTTAACAATAGCAACAACAACATCATAGTAGTTTTTCTTTGAGTTGCCTTTTGTACTTAAAAGTATAATAAATGGAATACCATCTTTACTCTCGCCATTATGCAAAGGCACAAATATTTGAATTCTAAATTAGGGGCCAGAGGAGGCAGAAGCTTCTTTATGGAAAGAGATGGCGCAGTTTGGCATTGAGTTCTCGCTCCTTGCTTAGAAGATCTAGGCTGTGCTTTTTGAAGGCTTCAGACTGCAGCCTGAGTTCATCATAGGCCTTCTGGATCCCATCTACCTTGCGCTGAAGCTCCCGGACTCTCAAGTTACTGTCCACAGCCACGGCCTCTTGCTCAAACCGCTCTAGGGCATGTCTCCTGGCCACATCAGCCGTCTCCAACTTCTCCTCAAGCTGGCGGATCTCTGCTTGTTTGTTCTGAAGCACCGTGCCCCTCTCCATGGACAGCTGCAATAGCTCCTCTTTCTCATGAGAAACGGTCTGCAGCCTGGCCTGCAGCTCCTGGTTCAGTCTGCTTTGCATCTGCTCAGCCTTCGCCATCTGCTCCATGGCCTGCTCATGCTGCTGCTCAAGGCTCTGAAGCTGGCTGCGCAGCTGCTCTGTCTCCTTGGTGTGGGCGCAGGCCTGCTGCCTCTGCAGCGCCAGCAGCTCCTTCTCTCGCGCCTGTGCCTGGCAGGCATCCTGAGCACATCTCTGCTTCAGAGTCTGCAGCTCCTTGGCTAGGGCCTCGCTCCGGGCAGTGAGCTGCAGAACTTTGGCCTCCTGGTCCTTCAGAGCTTGGCTGAAGAGGTGGTCATTCTCCAGCCTCAGTTTCTCATTCTCCTCTCTCAGCCTGACATTCTGGCTCTTGTGCTCATCCTTGAAGCGGATCATCAACTCATGGTTGGCTGCCAGGGTCATAAAGCGTTCCTCCAGCTTCTGGGCATGCTCACTCTTGGCCTTCAGCTTCTCAGCTTCCAGCATCACCTTCTCCTCCAGCTCTGTATTGAGCAGCTCCAGGATCTGGCAGCGCTCCAGGGCCTCATCCGACCTCCGCTTTAGGATGCAGATAAGCTGGGATTGCTCCTGGATGCGGGAACAAAGCATCGCCTTCTCACTCTTCTCCTCCTCGGACAGTCCCCGGAGGTTTGCCAAGGCTTCCTTCAGACCATCCAGTTCCTTAAACTCCATTTTCTCTTCCTGGTTTTCTGGTTTTTCATTTTGCTTATCTAATGGTTCTTTAGAGCGAGGGGTGTCCATCCTGAGAGCTGTCTCTTCCTGAGGTATAGGCACTCTCCTCCACTATCCACTGACTACACGGTCTCCCCCTAACAGATTTCAAAAGCCACACTGTTGCTAGGGCCTCTTGGCACTTCCTAGCAGTTGTTTTTTCACCTAGTAAGGAGCCCTGTGATTGGTAGACAGGTCTTCAGAATGCTATGAAGTAACAACAAGGGGGAGTCCACAACCAATCTGGACAGGTTATGCTTGCCTTTCTAACCAATCACAGGTCTCAGCTCACAGCCCTGTGACTGGCCTGTACTGTACAGAGATGCCAGCCCCACTTGGTTTCCAGCCAGCATCAAGGGAAGAAACCTGACTCCACCTAATTTCTGGTGGGAGTAAACAAATCACACTGGCAGTGACATATTCCTCCTCCCTCTCCCTGCTGAAGCGTGAGAATAAGGGCATGAGAATAAGGTCCTGTCTGTGGAAATGGCTGGCTCCTTAACGTTTGCAATCTATAAATACAAAGTAGCAGTAGCACTCTGTGAGGACGCTAAATGGCTGTCAGTTTGTACCTGTAGTGTTGAACACAGCTCAGTGAAAGAACGAACCTGTGAAATTTCTTTTGTTTTCTTTAGCATTGTCCCCAGCTGGGATTACATTTTATTAGATATTGAGCACTTCCTGTTTTTACCTATTAGCACAACAAGGTTACAGAAAGAAGAACAATGTAGATGTGATAAACATTAAAAGAGAAAAAAGATCTAAATGAGGCTTATGGTTATATTCATCAAAGTCAATTCCAAATGGATTTAATAGTTAAATGTAAATAGTAAAATTTAAAAAGTATGAAAAATGGAAACTAGAGGAAAATAAAGGTAAGGATAAAAGCTCTGGGTCAGGAAGGACTTTCTAAGCTTAAATATTATGTAAAGAGATAGATGATATAAAGCTTAATTTGGCTTAGTTGAACATCTAAAGTTATATATAATTTAAAAAATTATGTGACCCTGAAGTTCTCTCTAACCTCTCCTTCCTCTGGACTTGCCTGACATTTTACTCCCTGGCCCAATCCAGCTACTGAAGTTCCCCTGGCTGACCTGCATTCTGGCTCTGTCTTTAGGTCTTTCCTTTGCTTAAAATGCCTTTTCCCACCTTGTCCCTTGTCACTGTAGTATACTCAGCGTTTTATGCTAAGTTAAGAATCATCTCCTCTGTGAAGCCTTTCCTGGCCCCTACACGTAGACTTGACCACTCACCTCTTTTAGTGCAGCCACTCTAGCCTATTTGCACTTCTAGTGGACCTTGTGAAAGCCTTATTGCCTTATTTTTTACCCACCTGCCTCCCTCTGTTAAACCTGGAGATCCTTAAGAGCAGGGACTCTGTTTCATCCTTGATGACTAGACCACTGCCTCGGGGAGACTCAGATAAATATGTGTTGAATGGATGTTGAAGGCAAAATTCAAGTTGAGAAAAGTATCTACTATAAATATAACAGACAATAGATTTATATTTTTATAAAGAGCCTGTACAAATCAAGAAAGCATTAGCATCTTGAAAGAGAAATGAACAATTAAATTCACAGATGAGGGGACAGAAATGGCCAAGAATTAAGCCCTATCAGTGATCCAATAAATACAAGTTAAAATTAGATATCATTTCATCTATCAAATTAGTCAAAAACTTCTTATTTTAAGACAACATCGAACTGGTAAGGGTATAGTGAAATAGGTACTTTCTTATACTGTTGGTGAAAGTCAATTGATGACATGTATTGAGGACTTAAAACATCTTTATGCATTTTGAACTAATGATTGCCCTTCTGGGAAGATCTTTGCTCAGGAAATAGTCTGAAAGAAAAAATTTTGTTCAAAGTTTTTTTTTTTTTATCGTAGTGTGGGTCATACAACTAAAAGTTGGAAAACAAAATGCCCCCTAAAAAGAAAATGTTAAGAAAATTATCACATTTTCATATAATAGAATATTATGTAGACATTAAACATTATTATGTTCATAGGTAATTTAATGGCATGAAAATGTGTATGTTAGGGAGGTAACTGAAAAGGGATTAAAAATGTTAAAATTCAGAATGATCATAATGATCATTAAGTGAAAACTTAAGCATAGAGTAAAGAGTTAGCTATTCCTAGAGAGCCCAGAAATAAGCCCATACACTTATGGTCAATTAATCTTCGACAAAGGAGGCAAGAATATACAATGGAGAAGACAGTCTCTTCGCAAGTTGTGTTGGGAAAACTGGACAGCAGCATGTAAATCAATGAAGTTAGAACACTCCCTCACTCCATACAGAAAAATAAACTCAAAATGGCTTAAAGACTTAAATATAAGACAAGACATGATAAATCTAGAAGAAAACATAGGCAAAATGTTCTCTGACATAAATCTTAGCAATGTTCTCCTAGGACAGTTTACCCAGGCAATAGAAATAAAGGCAAAAATAAACAAATGGGACCTAATTAAACTTAAAAGCTTTTACACAGCAAAGGAAACCACAAGCAAAGCAAAACAACAATCTACAGAATAGTAGAAAATATTTGCAAATCATACGACTGACAAAGGCTTAATTTCCAGAATATGTAAACAGCTTATACAACTTAATAACATAAAAACAAACAACCCAATCCAAAAATGGGCAGAAGACCTAAACAGCAATTCTCCAGTGAAGACATATGAATGGCCAATAGGCATATGAAAAAATGCTCAATATCACTAATTATCAGAGAAATACAAATCAAAACTACAATGAGGTATCACCTCTCACCAGTCAGAATGGCCATCATTCAAAAGTCCAGGAACAATAAATGCTGGAGAGGGTGTGGAGAAAGGGAACCCTCCTACACTGTTGGTGGGAATATAGTTTGGTGCAGCCATTATGGAAAAAATTATGGAGATTCCTCAAAAAACTGAAAATAGACTTACTGTATGATCCAGCAATCCCACTTGTGGGTATACATCCAGAGGGAACTCTAATTCTAAAAGATACATGCACCTCAATGTTCACAGCAGCACTATATACAATAGCCAAGACATGGAAACACCTTAAATGTCCATCAACAGATGACTGGATAAAGAAGTGGTGGTATATTTCTAAAATGGCATAGTACTCAGCCATAAAAAAGAATAAAATGCCATTTGCAGCAACACAAATGGACCTAGAGATCGTCATTCTAAGTGAAGTAAGCCAGAAAGAGAAGGAAATATACCATATGATATCATTCATATGTGGAATCTAAAAGAAAAAGAAAAAGAAGGACACTATAAACTCATCTACAAAACAAAGTTTCACAGACATACTAATCTTATCGTTACTGGGGAAAGGGGGTGGGAAGGGATAAATTTGGGAGTTTGAGATTTACAAATGTTATCCACTACATATAAAAACAGATTTTTTAAAAAGTTTCTGCTGCATAGCACAGAGAACTATATTCAATATCTTGTAATAATCTTTATTGAAAAAGAATATGAAAATGAATATAGGTATGTATGTGCATGACTGGGATGTTGCCTGTACACCAGAAACAGACACATTGTAACTGATGATACTTCAATTAAAAAAAAGAAAGTACCCAGGATATTGAACAAATTAAAAAAAAAAGTTAGCTATTCCTGCAATCACTATTTATGGTGGTTAGACTTAATCTCTCTCTCACATGATGAAAAGGAAAAAGTAGGGAGGGGCATTATCATAGATGTTGGGTGGATTTTTGTATGCGTCAGATTTCACTGGGAGCAAAACAGATCTGAAAGAAGGGTTTGAAATTTTCCCTTTGGTCTCAAAGATCAGGATCTCACTTCCAAAATCCTGACTCTCTTGTGTATACAGGGAAAGCAAGGTTGAGGATGAGGGAAAGCTCCTGAACTAAAATTTTAATAGCTACTTAAATTATAGGATATTTAGGATTTATGAAAGTGGGTTCCAAGACTTGAAAAAAAATGTGAATTAAACTTATTTTAAATTTGCCCCTCATTTCTCTTCTTCACTTCTCCTGAAATTTGAAGCTTCATATACTGAAATGGAACTTGTAAAGTTGAGGCACGTGACTAGAAAATTAGAACAGTCACTCCCATTTAAATTAAAGGGTCATACATACATTGAATATTTTATTTGCTGCTTACCATATATGGTTGTCTGATGTAGTAAAGTGAATTCACAGGATGTATTTCCTAAGAAAAGAAAAAGAAGGCAGGAGAAATACTCAAAATGTTAATAGCACTTATTTCTTGAGGAGCTTATGGAGCCCACTTTTTCTACCTTTCTAAGTCCCATGCACACAGCAGATGCTCAATGATATCTTTGATTAAATAGATTTTCTACATTAAGGATATTTTATATCTCTTCTATGTTAAAATTATTTTAAGTAATTAAATCCATAGATTACTTGTTAAGGTTAAGAATCTTACAAGTTCTTAATCAATATTCATTCATTAATTTATTCAAACATTTGCAATGTATGGCACAGTGTGAGATACTAAGTATACTTTAATAAGTTAGATGTATCACTCTTCTCAGAGAACTTACAGTTTAGTAATACCTTTTGGCTCCTTTCTGCCATGGTTTTCATTGTTCTACTGGTTTTTCCCCACCTACCTTTGATCCTGAAGGTATCCAGTGTATTCCCTTCCTAGAGACTGAAGTCATAAACCTTGGCCAACATTCTCCCTAGTAGTGACCAACAAGTTCCCCCTACTTGTCTTTGTTAAGTCTTTTAACTTCTCTTTTTTTAAGCTACTATTTACAGAGTTCTTCTATATACCTTACATAGTACTAGGCATTTGTACATCTTCTCTCGTTTAATTCTAACAATAGTCTTTTTAAATTGAAATATAGTCAGTTTACAGTGTTATTTTAACAATATTCTTGAAAGGAAGCATTATTATTCACATTTTATAGTTAACAGGGAACAAAAAAATTAAAGCACAGAAAGGTTAAGCAAGTTGCCCCAAGGCACCCAGAGATAAGAGATAGAGACAGAATTCAAACCCAGATCATTTTGATACCAAAGCTTATGGCCTTTAGTTCACACTTCATTCATTCACTTGCTTATTTATTCTTTCATTTATTCAGTTCACATACTGAGAAACTGTTATGTCCAAGGTTTTCAGTCCCAGCTCTTAAGATGTTTCAGTCTGATGAAGGAGACAAATAGAAAACAGCAATTCAGTGTGATAACTGCTAACATAATTGTGAATAAATTAGCCACATCACTCTTCTCAAAGAATAAAGATAGGGGTGCAATAATCTAAGGTCCATCCTGACTCAGGTGTGGAATATGGACAGTGAGAGTCTTCTTTTTGTAAGGCTGAAGGAAAACAAATTCTTTTGGAACAAGTCAGCCAAAAAAAGGTGGCAGGAATGTTCTGTGATTGGATTTAAATATGTGGGGACATTTTTTAATGTGGAAACAAACTAGTGAAATTAGTGAATGAGCCTGGGAGTAGAGACAGAGAGAGGAGATGGAAGAGCAATCCCAGCCTAGAATGGGAGTAAGAGCACAGGAGAAGGCAGATGTTCATTGACTTTTTTACTTAGATGATGAATACGGATGAGAGATGTGCAAAGAAGTCCAAGCAGGCTCCCTGGAAGTGAGCCGAGGCTAACAGCATTGCCTTTGTGGACTTCTAGGCCATGTGAGCCGGCCAGGATCCTCACCATCTACTTAGAAGCTACAGTAGTCATGGTGGATGAGGAAATTTAGGCATCTCGGATAAAAGTCGGCAGTGATTCTTTGACATATTCGTTTTTAAAATAATGGAATTTTGAAGTAATTTCACCAGAGGGAGACACAAATTGCATGGTTGCCTAGCCCTTGATTTCTTCAGTGCTCCTGTCTATATCATACCCCATTCTTCTGATAATGAATCACTTCTCCCTGGCCACAGGGTAGACACATAATCCAAACAGGCTCAATCATAAGGTCTTACCCTATCCATTCCTGGCCACAGTGAGTGGTCCAATAGGTGGGGACATGACCCAAGCCTGGCCAGTTACTCCCAGAGCTCTTGCAAGCTGAACCTAGGAAAGAAAGAAGTGCTTTAACTGAGAGGTTGTGATACTGACGCTGCCTGTGGTGCTATCTCCCAGCCCCTGAGGATGAGGATATGGTATCTGAGTTCCTGGTTCCAGCCACTGAGTCCCCAAAGTAACCTGTGTTCCTGCAGGGCTTCTTTAATTCCATGAGCTAGCTAGAACCCATCTCATTAGTGCTTCAGAGCTGACTGGATGCTGGGAGATCGCTGAGCAAGTAACTGGAAAAAAGGCTGAGAAAGTAGTTTGTACTGTGAAGTGGCAGGAGCTGTGGCAGGATTTGGGCTTTGGTTCCAGATCAACCTTGGAGGGGTGTCTCCAATCAGCTTATTTTGCCCCTCCCCACATTCAGAACAGAAAGAGGAAATAGAGCTAGATTACACATCCTCTTAAAAGACCTTGAGAGACAATGGGGGGAGGGTGTTGTTCTAGGTTAGTGGCTCAACCAGTGGGTTAAAGGTTCTAACATCTGTTTGGGGGAGGAGGCAAGCACTCTAGCTGTTTTCAGTGACATTTGTTACACACCTGTTGTAAGGTCTTACTCTCTCCACCACCATCCAGGTTTCCCCTAAACCCACATTAAATCCTACGCTTGTCTTGAGAATGGCAACCTAGTGGGGTTCTCAGGGAGAGTAATGCTGTATGTATTAAATGCGCCAAAAATGTCTCTGTGGAAAACTTTAAGAATAAATGTTAATTTACCTTCAACTACTTTTTAGAAAAAAAAATTCTACTCTTGATAACATAGCTGAAGCTTCCCACTTAAAGAAACGACGTCCAGAGTTGCAGTAAAGACTGAAAAAACACTAACTTAGAGCAGTTCTTTAGCCTTATTAGGGAATTCTGATTTTAGAATTCTTAACAGAAAGCATTTCATTTAAAGTAAGAAGTCACATTAATTTGACAATAAAGTTAAATCATATAATAATTTATTCTAAGGGTTTTTATAAAATATTTAGGAAAATTATACATATAGGAAGTACAGTGTAATTTATCAATTGACATTCTAATTAAAACTTTGTTACAAGGCATGTCTGTGAATACTCCCATGCTGCTTTCATATAGTAGTTATAATAAAAACAGAATCTTATACACGCAAGGTTTTTGTTTTCGTTTTTACGTACAGGTAACTCTATTACAAAATACAGGCATGAGACTTGTTTTAGGAGAAAAATTAAGCCAAAAGTGGAATTCCACCTATGGCCAGTGGGTGGCACCAAAGCACATTTGAGACTTCAACACCGGAAAAAGGGAAATTCTAAAGGCAGAAATACATGCAGTATTCAGTTTCATTGCCCTAACATGGAATTCTATATTTCAATAGAGATTACAGAGTAAATAGTTTTCTTACAGTCGAATTCTTTATCATCACTGATATTCTACCCGTTTTTCCCCTTGTAGGAGTATCTTTCTGTCACTCTTTTCCATGACCAACTTGTTCAGTTCCTGTAAGGGTTTTCAATGCTCAGGTGGCAGGCCCTCCTAACTGTATTGTGGTGTGAAACACATGACAGCAAACTGAAAAATTTTGCTTATTAACAACGTCCTATATCTAATTTTATTTTCATTTTTGGCAGCTTTTTCTTTGGCAGCAGCAACAGGTTGATTTTCTTAGCTTTCTCAAACATCTTCTTTAATGTTGGAGTCATGAATAAGTTAAACATCTTGTTATTATTTAAATCTCTTGGACCTTGTAACCAAAGAAGAACATGCAGGTTGACTTTAACATATTGTGTAGCATTTGTTGGTGGCAGTAGATAAAAGGTGAGGATCTCTGTCAACATAGTCAAATTTTCAAGATCAAATTCCACCCGCTTAGTAGTTTTCAGTGAAGAAGCCAGTGGACTTTGGGTTCATTTGGAAATCTTGGCGATCAACAGCATTCTGAGAGGCAGGGTTGCTTCAATCCAAGTGTTGGGGGAATTTACCATCTTTTCCCAGAGAGCAACTTCCTCTGGAGTGGAGTCCATCCAATCCACTTCAGTACCATAGCTTTTACCTGGGAAAAGAGGGAAGCTTTGCATTTAGAAAGGAATAGCTCATTGAGGGGGAAAAAAAATAGGTCAATACCTAATTATAATTACCAATGGAAGACAGGAAGAGTTTTAATATCACCAGGAGGGCAGATCTGGGACTCGATATAAGAAAAGAACTGTTTAACCATCTGAGACATACAACAGTGGGATTATTCTCATTACTGCCAGAGTAATGACTTCTCTTCACGTTTATGTAACAGGTAGATGAGAATCTGTCAGGTGCATAAAGGAGTAGTAGAGAGGATTCCTGTATTGCGCTGGAGGTGATCTCTAAGGAAGTGTGGCTTTAGTGTCTAACAGACTCAGTTTTGAATCTTGGCTCTGCCACTTATTAGCTGTTTCTTAATTTCTTGGAACATCAGATTCTCTGGGGATAATATTAATAACAACTCATGGAATTGCTGTGAGGCTTAAATGAAATAATGCAAATAAAGCACTCAGTACAGTGACCAGAGCTCTATAAATATTAGTTACTGTTATTACACAAAGCACACTTTTAGCCAGGAAGGGCCATAAATGTTGTTTCAGGAATGAGTAACAATGAAGGCTTTTCTGTTTCCCTCCACAATAACTTAAGCTTTGTGCTGACAGACATCACATCCTGTTAATCTTCACATCTAGAGTCTTTGGCACACAGTCTGACACTCCTTCACTCATTCATTTCACTTAACAGAAGCAGAATATCTGTTTTCACTAGGAAGAAGCAAAGCAACAAACCAACCAACCTCTAGTGTCTCCCAGAAGCATTTGACTCATGGAAAATTAAAACTGTAACAAATGTTACCTGTTCCGAAACCAATCCGAAGACCTCCCAAAAACTGGTTGGTTAATTTGTAATGGTCCCAGACGGTAAGCTCTACACAGGCTTCCGTCAGATCTTCAGGCCTGAACCCATCGTACACCATAGTGTGGTTGAAGACAGGGCTGGCGGTTTTCCCTACAGCTCTTGTCTTCTGGCGACTTTTCCTACTTGTATCTGGAAGGATGGTACTAAAAAGGGAACAATATTGTGAGGGCATTTTAATAAAATAGTAAACACTCATGCTTTCAGTGCACTTCAGCTACTGAGGACTGGCAGGAGGAACTAGAAGAAAGAAGAGTGTGGAGAGATGGTGATGGCAGGTGGGGCATCCTGCTGGAAAGACTGTGTGCATGAGAGTGGACCAGACTTGCTTTGAATCCTGAATCTGCCACTTAATAGCTGTGTGTTACAGAAAATTTACTTAACCTCTCAAGACACTTGCTTCCTCATATGTAGTATGGGAATAGTGATGTCTACTTCATAAGGTTAATGTTAGAATTATATATTATGCAAACAATTTAGTTCAGTGTCTGCATTTAGTAAGGGTTTACTATGTAGCAATTGTTTGAGGATTCCTTTAAAATTTGGAAGCATGGTCTACTCCTGATTATCTGTGATAGCCTAAGAATTGTCTTGTACAGAATTGAAAAAGAAGAGAAACATCTCCAACTTGCTAGATTTGACTCTGGGAATAAATTATATATGCAATCTTTTACATTTAATTTATAGTAATAACTGAATTGACTTTAGCCTACGGTGCCTCTTGTAAAGGCAAGGTCTGAGACTAGTCTTGGAATGGGAGACTGACAAACTTACCAGTTGACATCTATGAAGAATATGTACAGGGAAAATCATACATAATGTCATATAAACTTAAATACTTACAACTGGGCTTGTGGTAGAATCTATATAGATAAAAATTAGTCAAGAGACAAGACAGCACACTATATCTGTTTAGTTACTATTTTTTAGATGCCAGGCATTCCTATTATAACAGAGAAAAAAGTTTGCCACTTAAAAACCCAAACTGTCTTAAGCTCTTATGAGCCAACTATTAGTATGGGTCTGTTTAGCAAATAACTTCCCAGATACTTACAAGCTGATAAAAAAGTCATTTGCAAATGGGCCACAAAACAGGTGCTCCACAAAGGAGCCAAGGGGTTTGGCATCTAACCATTAGACATTTCATAAATTCTTTAGAACTAAATATTGTCCTCACCAGTAGATGTACCTCCTGGAAAACATCACATATATGAGTATGTGCTCTCTGGTTTCAATTGTGTGTGTGTGTGTGTGTATACGTGTGTGTGTGTGTATGTGTGTGTGTATACCTTCTTATCTTTGTGATTTTGAAACTAAACGAAGTCTTGGGAGGGTTCATGTCACAGATCCTTCTAGCTCATGTCATCATTGTCTCAAGTTATTTCATTTATACTGTGAATGATGAGTTTCAGCATCACAGATGCAGAGAACTAAAACAAACCAGCAGGCCAAGCTATTATAGAACAGAGGGAGGCAGAGCTATCATTGCTGTTACCATTTAACAAAAGAATTTAGATGGCTGCCCCTTAGCAGTGGTAGATCAAGGCATTCCTTCACCCAGATGTGCACTTCTCCAGTTGTAGGAAGCTTTTTACCTGTAATGGAAAAAAAAGACAGAAAATGAAATCCCACTGCCAATCCTCTCTTGGCAATACTGCATCCAAAGATGCCAATCTAAAAATGGTCTGGCACAGCGATGCTGGCTAGTGCTTGATGCTATGATACCAACTGATTATATCTATTCTTAACTCTATCCTTCAAAGTCTGGCTGTACTGAGCTCAGATAGCTCTATGAAAACAATTTTATTGATTCTAAGTGCATGGTATTACATCATTCTTTCTGGGTTTTGTTTGGTTGAACAAAATCAATTATAGATATCAGGTATGTAAATCATCCATTCACAGTCCTATTCAAAACTATCCAATGAAATGCATATACTTTCAAATATTAATACCAATATCAACTGGTGCTTATGGGAGGCATTTTAAACATATTTGAGTATAAAATAACAAAAACAGGTACTGGTTAAGGTATAGTCACTCTTCTTGTCAAAAGTAGTCACACATTTTACAGGACTACTGTGTAGACACATATAAGAGCCAATATTATGGACAGGGAATCACTGAGCGGTTGGCTTAGTCTGAAGTTGTTGACTAGGTTGGGTGCACATGGACAGAGGAATACTATCATATTTTTCTGGACAGGTTAACCCAATCAGTCAACCAACCAGTATTTAATGAGCATCTAATGAACTCAGCCCTGTGCTAGGAATGTCACTAGATATACCAGAAACATAAGAAACCTATGTCCTTGGGAAATGTTAATAGTTAAGCAAGAGAGATTAACATAAAGACTATAAAAATGTAATATAGAATGAAGGACCAGGTTATTACTGTAATGTTCTAGAAGATGATGTCATTAATGAGGGTAAATATATTCAGGAAAAGTTTTATGGAGGAAATGGGATATCATCTAAGTCTTCGACAGGGTGAGAAGAAGAGGAAGCTGTGCCAGGGAGGAGAAACCACATGTTCAAAAACTCAGACAAGGTGGAGCCCATCACAACACACAGTGCCCCTGCCCCCCCGCCAAGAAATGATAGTGGGGGAAATGTGAAATGAGAATGGCAGAATTTCTATGCATGCTGACCATAAATGATAGGATATAAATTACATATAAAAGAATCTGCTTTTTAGAAAGATCCAGAAGTAACAAGTTGGTGGTTTGGCAGCCCTCTGGCCTAAGGATAGGATATGTTTTACTTGCCTTCCAATCTTGGGTTTTTTTTTTTTAACTGAATTAGAATGCCTTTCTCTAGTTCAGTCACTGTCCTCACCATCCATCATGTCTGTCATCCCACTAGCTGTGCTGCCTGCTGACTGAAAGCATTTGAGTTTGCAACCCCTGATTTCAGTCATAACATTCACATAGATTCTTAAGAAGAACCGTATGGGAACGGACAGCGGGGGCTAACACTCATTTCCTGACAGTCTTTTGCTCCTTAACTGCGCTGGAGATCTGAGGCCCTAACATCAAGGATGCAATCAGTAATTTGGAAGGGAAAGCTTTCTCTCCTAAGGAGACTTTGAGAGGAGAAGACAAATGAGCTCGGATTTCTTTGGGGCTTTATATGAATTCTTTCCTGTGGCAAAAAAACAAACAAATGAAAAAAAAAAAAAAACCAACCAGCAAACAAAAACCCCCACTCTGATTCTATTTGTATCACAGCATTATCAATAAATCCAAATTCTGAGTACAGGAAAGACCATTCACACTGTGCAGACACAAACTTTTGTGAGAGTGAGGTGAAAGTTAAAACAACAACCATCACCTGGACAGAAAAAAAAAAGAATTTTTCTCACAGAAACAGAAAGTAGAATAGGGTTACCAGGAAGGGGAACCTGGAGAGGAAGGGAAGAGGGGAGTTGTAGTTTAATGGGTACAGAGTTTCAGATATACAAAGATGAAGAAGTTCTGGAGAGCTGTTTCACAACAGCGTAAATATACTTAGCACTACTAATGGCATGCTTAATGGTTAAGAAAATTTTATGTTGTATGTTTTTACCACAATAAAAAAAAAGAGAAAAATTTCTAGTTTACAACTGTGGATTGACTTGTTTGGTCTATACCATTCCTAAGTCTGTAAGTTTATTTAGGACTTCACCTTTGAAAATATCAAAGAAATCCTTGGAAAGGGGGGGAT